ATACATGTTTTGAGGTCCCCTGAGTTCATATAACCAAGTGTCGCAAAATGGTCTGTGTGTGTGTGTGTGTGTGTGTTAACAGTCTAGCTCATAAACGAAAAGTAGTACGAAACTGATATTAAGTATTTGAGGTTTGTATATGGGCCGTATGTGACAGCAACTTTTTATCTGCTAACCGGAAGTGCCACTTTATATGAACGCTGAAGCACATTTTTACAATTTTCTCAAAAACGACTCTTAACGATTTTGATCAAACTCGGTGTATCATTGTATAATTAAGTGGTCTTTAATATCATTTAGGTCTTATCCCCGTTGATGTCACTTTACAGGGCATAAATGCCCAATGTTCATATATGTCTTCCTCTAAAGTACCTTTAATATTGTTTATTTTAAAAAGTTAACCATTTCGCATTATTCAGAGTTAAGAAAAAATGCTAAATATAACTTTTGAAAGAATTTGATAAGTTAATAAAGGAGAAAAAAAAAAAAAAAATGCAGAAAAACCTGCGTTCCTACAGACTGTAGTGCCTAAACGAATGTACCGATTTCAATGAAACTTCGCTAAAGTCATTCTCTCGATACCCTTTAACTTTATCTATGTAACATACTTCAACGAAAAGAAGCTGGAAAAAAAGTTACGAGGGATGTTAAAATTAAATTCCGAATAACTCAAAAAGTATACGCTTTTTTGTTGATATGGTTTTTTAAAAGTTTATGGAATTTCCTAAAAAAACAAAAAAAAATCGTTAAAATCTCACAATTAGGAGGAAAGATATGGTCTCTAGTTTTTTTTCCCTAAAAAGGTGAAAATTTGGATAAATTTAAAATATATTTTTTTAATTGTTGAGACTAAAAAAACCTTTTTTCTAAAGATATTTAATAGTGTCTTTCCTAAGAACATCTTTCATAAGAAAGTAGTACCTATATTTATACTTTTATTCTCAGTTGAATGATGACATCACTCAAAAATGTTGAAATTGGAGTTAGTCATTCTGTGGTTTATAAAAGTAGATAGAGTGAATAGATTTTTATTCCCTGTCGTCGATATATTAAGTAGACATTTTGTAATTATAATGGTCTTAATGATTTGTTCTCTGTAACTTTAGCTCCGTTTAAAATGCACTTCAAAAAATTTTATAATAGCTCAGCAATGCCAGAAAATAATTTCTATTCAAAATAGATCGGTAAGTGAAAGTTGTGTGTTGCGCGCACTAGATTTTTATTATATGTACCGCCGAAGTGAAAGTTTTGTCTTGGAGAAGAAAGTAAAAATATTAATAAAATAGGTAATTTATCGTAAGGTAATTTTTAAATGTTTGAACTTTTACACATTTATTATAAAATATTCTTAAAGATTTGAATTTCTTTAACAACTGTACCAATTGTTAAATTCTATCCATTTAAACAAGTTTTCCTTACAGTGTATATACATACCCCTTCAATTGTTTTTATATAAAGAATGATTAAAATTATGAAAATAATTATGATGCATTGACTTAAAGTACAATAATAATGAGCAATTTTTGTTTAAAATATAATAGATTTTCATAAAAAAAAAATTAGGAATAAAAATATATTTTACATTATTTTTTCAAGGATGTAAATTTATTATTTTTCTTTAATAAAATAAAAAAATTACAAGATGATTAATTTTTTAAATGGTTTACTTATAACATCCTGTTAAATGTTTTAATCTTAACAAAATTTAATAAATATATTTCTTATCACATTCTAAGAATGAAATATCATTTAAAACAGAGGTATCCAAACTACAGCCCTCAAGCACTCCCAATCTGCAAAAGTTTCTTTGATTACATGGTAAAATTTAAAAAAATATATAAAATTTAGTAATTCGTTCTGAAAAGAGGTTACTACAGCATTTATTGCATGATTTGTTTTTCTTAAAAAGCTCATTTCGCAACGGAAGTATCATTTACAGAAGAAGCTATTTTTTTTTATTTCTTCACAAGTCATGGAGGTGAGGTGTCAAACACTTTGGAGACCTCTGGTTTAGAAAATGGTGTCAAAAAAGAATGAGCAGTCAACATTAATCAAGATATATCTGGATTTTAAGTGTTTCATCTAACAATGCAAAACTTTTGTTTCTTGTGTCATTTTTTTTTTTTTTAATTTAATACAGTATTAATTTCAGATTGCTTTTAGTTTATCTTTTTAACCTGTCAAGAATTAATTTTAATAACTGATGTTAATTTCAGTCTCTTATAAAATTCTTAGTTTATGTTCTTAGCTATTCTAAATAATTATGTTTGTTATTGATAGTAATATTGGTAACTACGTTCTATTTTCAGAATTTAATATAATTTGACCAATTTTTGTCATCATCTTCAAATCCTTACATAAGTTGGAAACCTCTGCTTTTATAATTCATTTTTGTACAAAAAATATTTCCTAGCTTCTTCTTAGTACTGAAAGGCACATTTGTCATTTTAGCTTGTAGAAAAATGACAAAAAGAATAGTATTTTATACCATTTTTCATTCCAAACTACTGTACAAGATTGAAAATTAATGTGAACGATATTTTTATTAACGAATATATGCCAATGATTGTCAGTATTGTATTTCTTCGCCATTTCTTGGTTCTATCTTTGTTTCGAAAACAGGTACAGCTTCTGTTTGGTAACATATCTGGCTGCTATTTCCACTGCCTCCATAATAGTACCAGCCATAGTATGGATCGCTCTCAGCTCCATAATCTAAAATTAAAAATAAATTAGCTTGAGTATATTTTGTATATAATCTTAGTTCTTGAATGAATAGGAAAAAAATATGAATAATTAAATATTTGAAAAAATATGAACGTAACAAATGAAGACCCCTCTTAAAAACAGTTTAAGAAAATTAAGTTTAAACCAGACCTGACAAAAAGTATTTCAAAATATAGTATTTAGAATATCAACTATTTTGTGTTTTTTCAAATACAGTTTATTTTAATTACAAAGTATTTCAAAATAAAAAATACTTATTGATGGACAACCAGCCTATAACGCAGGGAGCCAACTCTATTTCTTCATTTATTTTGGGTATTTAAAATATAAAATGAAATAATACACTTTTTTTGTATTTTAGTATCTTAGAAGTAAAATATAAATATATTTTTTGTATTTTAAAAAGAAAATTCAGCTACAAACAATCTATTTTATACTTTACTTCTTAAAATGCAAAATAAGAAAAATGTATTTTATTTTGTATTTTAAAATATTTCATTTGAAATACTGCTCTGGTCTGTTTTAGACCTACATTTTGTAGGAATTCATTTTGACATATTCATTTTATTAAGGAATATAATGCAATAATTAACTCATAATACAAAAAGGAAGGTGTATTGTATTGTTACAATATCGTGGGATGAATACTAACTACAATTCATCATTTTCTAAAAAAAAAAAAAAATTAAATTATGATTTTTTGTTACTTGTTATATATGATTTGAAAGTGAGTAAAGTAGCTCAAAACGTTGTTATAACGTTGAATAAATAGTAAAATAAATAAGGTTTTGTCGATCCTTGAAGACACCATATATAAAAATCAAATTATTGTTTTCCTTGATTTTAGGAAAATGTAATGCCTTCAATAATTGTCATTTCGAAACAATTTATGAATTTTAGGTGTTGAAAAAATAGATGTGTGAACTTGCACAATTATTGAATAGAATGTGTTCTTGATTAACAATTTATCTATTTTGGAAAATTCCAAATAACATTTGTGGATCATCCACTGCATTTAACTATTTATAGTATGTTGTGGGCCCAATCTAAGGTTTTTTTTAAATTCATCGTTCCATTTCAGTTGTACTCATCCCATGATAGAAATTTTATTATATGCAACATTGTATTCCTTGAAATCGTCTATTGATAGTGTTAAAATGAAAATCTTGAATGCAAAACTGTGTGTATTAGATGAAAAAATTAGTGTTTCTGAATAATCTAATTTCTGCTTCAAGCAGTGGTGTCCGTCCCTGGGGGAATCTGTCCCGTACATATTTTTTTACATTTTCCTTTTGATCAGTCAGATTTTTCCTTTTTTGCCCTCAGAATGAACGTAAAAATCTCTTCCACCTTACATACAAAATAATATGTAACTACTTGTTTTATGTATGTCTTACATATATTATTAAAGGAATATAATTAACTGGGCTAAGGTTAGCATTTGATTGATAAAAAATGTTTCCCTTTTCCCATATTCCCAACTTTGGGATTCATCTAAAATTGAAACTTTTTCACCAAAGTTAAAACCCTGGTCCAGAACCACAAAGATTTTTTTTCACACCTAAGAATTTTTTTTTTAAATTACATAACTTTATTCCAAAAAATTTACCTTAATCAGATCTACACGTTTATATTTTAGTGATATTTCTCTTCATGGAATTTATTTAATTAATTATATTAATATGCTGTAAATAAAAATTTATGATGTCATTTTATTTTGTTCTACACTTGTAAAAAATATATATTTAAATAAATTTAGAAAATACTATAAATATAATATTTTTAAAAAATATTTATATATATATATATATATATATATATATATATATTCTATAGCAGTCGACATAAAAAAAATGTTAAGACTACTAACATATAGGTGAAGGGGGGGCTGATGGTCTCAATTCCTGAGGTGATGGATATGGTGTTATTCTATGATGTCTCCTTTCACTACTATAACTGTTCCCAATCCAATTCGGTTCATCTGAAATATAAAAATATATATATAAATAAAATGAATGAAAATTTAATTAAACTAAAATAATCCAATATAATATAGTAAGCTCAATGCCATGAAAAGGATTAAGACATAATTCGTTTATCTCAAAAAACGAAGCCCAAATGTAATGGAATATAAAGCTGTATAAAAATATCAATTATCAAAATGATTATTATAAAAACAAAATAACAATTTTGTTAAAAAAAAAGAGTACAATATAAAAATAATAATAATAATGATTGTTTAAAGATCGATAGCTAGTTTTCTGTCGATTCTTGCCGGTTAAGGTTATACAGTTAAAGGTTTCTGTTGTTTACTTGTATACTTATTATCTCCGTCGGGAGTTTTATCAATATATATTCGTTTCAGTGTTCTATTCAATCTTTTGCTATCCGAAAAATGATATGATTTGATTCAGTGATATTTATCAATCATAAAAATGAAGAAAGTATTTATGGTCGCTGAGAAACCCTCCCTAGCTCAAAGTTTAGCCAGCATATTAAGCGATGGAAAGTCCAAAACTCGAAAGGGTAGCAACGGAGCCTGTTCTGTTCATCAGTGGAATGGTTATTTTAAAAATGATGATGTTATATTTATTATGACTTCAGTTTGTGGTCATGTAATGGCCCTAGATTTCATTGGAAAATACAACAATTGGGACAGTGTAGATCCAGTGGAATTGTTCTCTGCACCTACCGAAAAGAAAGAAGCCACTCCTAAACTTAGAATGCCTGGTTTTCTTGCTCAGGAAGCTAAAGGTTCAGATTATTTAGTGCTTTGGCTCGATTGTGATAAGGAAGGGGAGAATATATGCTTTGAAGTGATTCATGCTGTACAAAATAGTATGAAGTACCAAGGTAATCCCGATTATATTTATAGAGCAAAGTTTTCTGCTATTACTGAAAAAGAAATTAAAGGAGCAATGGCAAATTTAGTTAGACCAAATGAAAATGAAGCTCGTTCAGTAGATGCTCGACAAGAATTAGATCTTAGGATTGGTTGTGCATTTACTCGTTACCAAACAAAATTTTTTCAAGGCAAATATGGAGATCTTGATGCTAGTCTCATATCATATGGACCTTGCCAAACCCCTACATTAGGTTTTTGTGTCAAACGACATGATGAAATTCAAACATTTAAACCAGAACCATACTGGTTAATAGAAGCAAAATTAGCTCTTACGGATGGCCGAAAAATCACTCTCGATTGGGACAGAGTAAGATGCTTTGAGAAAGATGTTGCATCAATGTTCCTTAATTCAATCAAAGGAACAGAGATGGCTCAAGTTGTAAATGTAGAAAATAAAGAAAAGACCAAAGCTAGACCTTTAGCTCTTAATACTGTTGAATTAATGAGAGTCGGGAGTTCTTTATTAGGCATGTCACCTCAAAATGTAATGCAGATTGCTGAAAAGTTATATACTCAAGGCTATATAAGTTATCCTAGAACCGAAACCACTCACTATCCTGCAAGTTTTGATCTAACTGGGACATTAAAAATCCTCCAAAACAGTAACGATATAGGAGCTGAAGTAAAAGCAATTTTAAGAGATGGTTTATCAACTCCAAGAAAAGGTCATGATGCTGGTGACCATCCACCGATCACCCCTATGAAGTTAGCTGGAGAACTTGATAAAGAATCATGGAGAGTATACGATTATATTTGTCGTCATTTTGCATCTACGCTTGCCCGAGATTGTAAATATATTTTAAATGTTGTAAAATTTATGATCGGTTCTGAACCATTCACCCTTACAGGAAAAACTCTTACTTCTCCCGGTTATACTTCCATTTTACATTGGCAGTCCTTACCAAAAAATGAAGTGATGCCAACATTTCAAATCGATGAAGAAATTCCAGTTCAAGAAATGAAATTAATTGAACGTCAGACTGGACCTCCTGATTATTTAACTGAAGCAGAATTAATTACACTTATGGAAAAACATGGGATTGGTACAGATGCATCTATTCCTGTTCATATTAATAATATATGCCAAAGAAACTATGTTAAAGTTGGTTCAGGAAGAAAACTAATACCGACAGCGCTTGGAATAGTTTTAGTACATGGTTACCAAAAAATTGATATAGATTTGGTCCTACCAACAATGAGATCTGCTGTGGAAAAACAGTTGAATCTCATAGCTCAGGGATTAGCAGATTTCCATTCTGTTTTAAGCCATACGGTTGAAATTTTTAAACAAAAGTTCCTGTATTTTGTTACAAATATTGAAGGAATGGATCAACTTTTCGAGGTTACTTTTTCATCTTTGGCAGATTCAGGAAAGCCTCAGTCACGCTGTGGTAAATGTCGCAGGTATTTAAAATATATACAAACAAAGCCATCTAGACTCCATTGTTCTCACTGCGATGAGACTTATTCAGTTCCTCAGAATGGAAATATAAGGATATATAAAGAATTAAGGTGTCCTCTTGATGACTTCGAACTTTTGTGGTGGTCTAATGGTTCGAAAAGTTTCCCATTCTGCCCGTATTGTTATAACTCTCCTCCATTTAAGGACATGAAAAAAGGGTCTGGCTGTGATTTGTGTACCCACCCTACTTGTCCTCAGTCACTTATTGCTAATGGCTTGTCTGTCTGTCTTGAGTGTGAAGGCATCCTTGTGCTTGATCCTGGCTCAGGACCAAAGTGGAAGATATGCTGTAATAAGTGCGATGTGATTGTACATTTATTCGATGATGCTCAAAAGGTTTCAGTCGAAGACAGGAAATGCGAATGTGGTGCTCAAATTCTCAAAGTTGAATATAAAGAAGAAAAAACCAAACTTCCAGATGGCCTGACTGAAATGTCAGGATGCGTATTTTGTTCGATGGAATTCGCACCTCTTGTTAGATCTCATCGTGCTTCCATCCGTACCAAGTCGGGCAGGTCATATAGAGGCCGTGGAGGTTCAAAACACAAACAAAGAAAACCAAAAGATAAGATGGCTCAGTTAGCAGCATATTTTGTTTAATTTTTGGTTTTCCTTAAAAATTTAAAGATTTTAGTTCAAAGCATTTTAAAAAGAGTTTATTGTTTCACTAAAATAATAATGATAATTATTTTAATAATAGATGGTTAGTATAACATCTATGATACATAGCTAATCTTATATCCATAAATACATTATAAAGATCAGTTTAAAAGTATGTATATTTTTTAGTTTTTATAAGTAACGGCTCTGTAATTTTATTTATCAATTGTGCCAATATTTATTTATTGTTTAATTAATATTGATTGTTTTTGCTATTAAATGATGAGCTATTCATTTAATAATAATTGTAAATATATACAATTGAAAAAATTGTCCTAACAAACGTTAATGTTGATTTGTTATTTATTTTATTTCATATTCTTTTTATTATTTTGTATACTTATAATTTATTGTACTTATTTTTTACTAAAATATTACAATAAAAATTTAATCACTTCAATTTTTTTCATTTTCAGACTTAATAACTTTAATCAAAATCCCCGCACATACAATCAAACTTGTAGATTGTTAGTGATAAGGATATGCTCAAAACAAGGACATTTGCCTCTCTAGTCGAGTTAAAACCATCTAGCTGACTGAATTTTGTCATCTATAGGGGTCAGACATATTCCAACTGGTTGACGTCCTTGTTCTGAGTGTGTCCTAACAGTTGCAAACACTAAAATTATAGAAATAAATTTAAATTTAATTAAATTATAGAAGGTGGCTTTTCTAGAAGTGTTTAACAAAATGTTTCATACTTACACTGCGTTTGGTAATCTCTTGATTGTTGGTTATTTTCTGGTCTTTCTTTTGCATCAAGAAATGCTTTTGCAAAAGGATTATGCTTGATTTTAAGTGCTGTTACCTAAAATTAATCAAATAAATAGAAAAAGTATTTTTATTTTATATATATATATATTTATTTTTTTTTCTGATATTGATGAGTACCTCTTCATTCTGGTAAGCAGTTACAGCTATGAACTGTGTCTCTGGAAAAGGGTAAGCCAATACTTTTCTTTGTTCATTTCCAACTCTAACGATATGTACTCGTGGCTCGTATTTGTGAAGCGAATTCAACATTATCTGAAAAATTGTAAAATACATGTAGAGTTTTAAGTTTAAAAAAAACTGATAAAATCTTAGAAAATAAAAGATTTTCTTAAAAAAAGTGAAAAAAAAACTTATTTTAGATTTAAATCTAGTCTATACAATATTCGACAGAAGGATGACCTGGGTTCCACACTTAAAAATGAAATGACAGTCTCTAAACAAACGACTAAAAGTTCTACAAAAGCTAAATACATACACTTACCTCCACAAACCTATAAGGGCAGTTCAGCCAAAAAGACACACTTATGAAAACTACAGTCATTTCAATCCAAAACTTTATGGCTTACAACAGTAGCTCCCTGGTACGTAAACAATAAAACTTTACATAATGGCATGACAACCAAAATATACATACTCTCTCTCGATTTCATCTCAAACTCTACGGATAGAACAGACATAAATGACATGGCCACGACTGACATGCCCCTCAGGAGACGACTAAAAAGGAGCTGGATGAGAGATCTGCTCTCCTTAATCAAGGAAGGAAACAATGACCAGGAAGAGGTGCTATCCTTCCTCATGCCTATAATGCCAATAATTTAATTTATCACAACAAATCTGCTGATTTTCACTATCATGCATTTTTTAAGATGCAGATAGATATTTAGATTTTTAAAAAATCTTGTCTGGTTCTGTATTAACGAACATATGAGTTTTTAGTTCAAGAGAAGATAGGTCTAGAAAAAACATTTGAATTTAGTTAGTAAACAGGGGAAAAAATTATAATGAATACACAATCATTTTGCCAAAACACTTTTTTTTTACAATGATAGAATTGTAGAGAAAAATCTGTGAATGAAACATTATTATTATTTTAAATTATATATAATAAAGATCATAGATATTTAATGATTAAGAGTGGAGTTACTCAGTTGTTTTTGCAAAACATAAAAATAATAAGACATATTTCAAGAAATTAATTTACTGTTTATTGTATGCATTAATACTAAAATGTGGATTAATGAGAAATTGTACTTTTTTATTTTGTTAGCTAGATGGATCAAAAACAATTTATTTTCATAAATTTAAGCATCCTGAATTTTTAATTTGCTTGTTTGTTTTTTTTACAAATTAAAAGTTTTAAGATTTTTAAAGATCAAAACCACAAATTTACTGTATCTATATAATTTATTTATAAATAAGTTTAAAAGTTCAAATATTGAAACAAAAATACCTAAGGAAAATTTAATAAAGTAATACCCGGGGCTTATGTTTCTAATTTCTTTAAATTATAAAATCTAGAAATTATGTTATTAAATTATTTTAAGGTATGTATTTCATATTTCTTGTTTTGTTAAAAAAAAAAAAAAAAAGATTATGCTATATTTTCCATGTCTAATATATTTTCAAATAAAACATCAATTAAATATAAAAATAAATATCATTTGTTTATTTCTGACTGAACACCCTAACCAACTTCTCTTCAACAAAACAAATAAATTATTTACTATTGTGGTTGAAATACAGACGTAAAGAAAAACTTTTTATTTTCAGTGTAAATTTTTCTATAATTTTATTTAAACACAAACAAATCTTCTATTTTACTGATTTATTTTCCACCCTATCCAATATTACGATGAAAAATGTTGATTTATTTAATAAAACAAAATAGATATTATTTTTCTGCAGGAAATAAGTGAATTGAAAGATTTTATATTTGTTACACATTCTATATGTTTTTTACTGCAGAAAATAAGGTTTCTAATTATGACACTAAAACAGCAGGTATGATGCAACTAAAAAATAATAAATCTGATATCAGATACTATAAGTCCAAGATAACAAAATAAATTTGAAGAAAAAAAAACACGACCAGGTTCTTTTGGAGGTAGGTGAAGAAGAAACAGGTAAATGAGGAGAACACTACATGAGTAATAAATACTTTGGTGCTAAGTAGTTAAGGCTTCTATTTTATTTACTAAGCATCACAAAATATGTCTTATCCATAACTTTCCAATAGGTTACATGAAGTGATTTTTTTTTTAAATTTTATTGAATCATAATTTGTCTCAAACTCAAAACTAGCGGGCCCAGGATTTAATTTTGGGGGAGCTTCAGCCCAAAAGCTTTTTTATGTATAGCACTTCACTCCAATTTCTTTCAAATTGAGCCTTTAGAGTGAATTTTGAAGAGGAGAGATAAAATGCCAAAAGAATTTGATTATTCTCTATTAGAATTATTCATGAAATATTAAAAATCTCTTCAGATTTTTTTTTTTTAGCTCTTCTGTCGGTTATCTGACTCATGTTTTAATGCTTTAATTTTTTGTATAAACCAAATTATTTGAATCAAAACTTTAACTGTAAGCAAATTTTTAGCCAGAAGTTATAAAGTGGAAGTACCAAAGAAATAATTAAGGATTCTGCTTAATAAGTTCATATATCATGCAATGTTGAAGGCATAAATAATATAGAATCTAAAAAAACTAAGGTTCTAAGCAAATTATATATATATTTTTTCAGGAGATTCCATACATAAAATTCAATACTTGTCTGCTCATTTGATGAAACCAAAAATGTTCAATAAAATGATAAAAACTAGTAATAAGGACATCTATATGATTAATATGATGTCTTATTTTTTGCGTTTCAATAAAAATTAGTTATTTAACAAGATGATTCATACTGGATTACAAGTATTCTATAAATTCTCACCTTCGCGCCCCCCCTTTTCCCAGTCTATAATATGGTAATGTCTAAATCCACTGCAGTCGTGTGGTAACACTGGAGAGGTAAGGTGGGGATAAGAGGGAATGTATTGTTTACTTCAAGTGGAAAGGTTATATAGCAGTAATCTGTGCGCACGATGCCGGTTCTGTTTATAGACAAGTAGTGTTGATTCGTTAAGGGATCAATGTCGTTATATTGTTCTTTTTATTCATTATGGACCTCATTTTAAGGATATCATAATTTTTTTTCGATTTTAAAGATTGCCATCGATAAGTGTTTAAAATTTCGAGGTTATACGTAGTTGTATATTTCGATTATCAAAATGATTGTTCCCGTGGATGGACTTGATGTTTACTTCCCTTATGAATATATATATCCCGAACAGTTTTCTTATATGACAGAACTTAAAAAAGGCTTAGATGCTAAAGGCCATTGTTTGCTGGAGATGCCTTCAGGCACTGGTAAGACGACTACATTGCTGTCTCTTGTTGTTGCATACATGGTTGAATATCCTTATGTAGTAAACAAACTTGTTTATTGTTCAAGAACTATCCCAGAGATTGAAAAGGTGGTGGAAGAACTGAGAAAACTTATAGCTTATTACAAATCCAATGGCAAGCCTCTAAACTTGATTGGTTTAGTATTGAGTTCCCGGAAAAATTTATGTGTTCATCCCCAAGTTAGTAAAGAAAGGGATGGTAAAGTAGTTGATGGAAGATGCCACAGTCTTACAGCATCTTATGTCAGAGAAAGACATAAGACTGATTCTAATGTTCCTGTTTGTAATTTTTTTGAAAATTATGATGAAAGAGGAAGAGAGCTCGGCCTTCCGCCTGGGGTATACAGTTTGGACGATTTGAAAGATTTCGGGATGCAGAATAAAATGTGTCCCTATTTCCTAGCTCGTCGTGGTGTATCATATGCAAATGTAGTTATATATTCTTATCATTACTTGTTAGATCCTAAGATTGCTGAGCTAGTTTCAAAAGAAATGGCCAGGACATCAGTTGTAATTTTTGATGAGGCACATAACATAGATAATGTATGTATTGAGTCAATGAGTGTCAAAATTAATCGTAAAATTTTGGAGAAGACTTCAGCCAATATACAAGTACTAGAAAGTACGGTTGGTAAGATGAAAGATGCAAATCAGTCTAGATTAAAAGAAGAATATCGTAGATTAGTTCAAGGTTTAAGAGATGCTCAAATGGCTAGGGAGACAGATGTTATATTGGCAAACCCAGTGCTTCCTGATCAGATCTTAAAAGAAGTTGTTCCCGGAAATATTAGAACAGCAGAACATTTCGTTAGCTTTCTAAGGAGGTTTCTTGAATATCTGAAAACCCGTTTGCGTGTTCAACATGTAGTTCATGAATCACCTGCTGCATTTCTGAAAGATATTGCTAGTAAGGTGTGTATTGAAAGAAAACCTCTTAGATTTTGTGCCGAAAGACTTGCCTCTCTCTTGCGTACATTAGAGATCTCTGATCAGACTGATTTTTCACCTTTAACAGTTGTAACACATCTTGCTACTCTAGTTTCTTCTTACACAAAAGGATTTACCATCATTATAGAACCATTCGAAGATAAAGCACCAACTGTGTCAAATCCAATATTGCATTTTAGCTGCATGGATGCATCAATTGCTATCAAACCAGTTTTTGATCGTTTTCAGTCAGTAGTTATTACTTCAGGGACACTTTCTCCATTGGACATGTATCCAAAAATATTAGATTTTCATCCTGTAGTTCTAGCTTCTTTTACTATGACCCTTGCTCGCCCATGTTTAATGCCAATGATTGTATCTAAAGGAAGTGACCAAGTCGCTATGACATCTCGTTTCGAATCCAGGGAAGATATTGCCGTCGTTCGGAATTATGGCCAGTTACTAGTTGAAATTTGTACTGTGGTACCGGATGGTGTTGTTTGCTTTTTTACTTCTTATCTGTACCTGGAATCAGTTGTAGCTTCATGGTATGACCAAGGTGTTATTGATAGCATACAAAGAAAAAAACTACTTTTTATTGAAACGCAAGATGCAGCAGAAACAAGTTTAGCCCTTATCAATTATATTAAAGCATGCGAAAGTGGAAGAGGCGGAGTATTATTATCAGTTGCTCGAGGAAAAGTTTCGGAAGGTGTTGACTTTGATCATCATTTAGGAAGAGCTGTTTTAATGTTCGGAATTCCTTATGTTTACACACAATCCAGAATATTGAGGGCACGTCTCGATTATTTAAGAGAAACATTTCAAATTAGGGAAAATGACTTCTTGACTTTTGATGCTATGAGACATGCTGCACAGTGTGTAGGACGAGCTATTCGTGGAAAGATGGACTATGGTATAATGATTTTTGCCGACAAACGTTTCGGTAGAATAGATAAAAAGAGTAAACTTCCCAAATGGATCCAAGAGCATTTAAGCGACCATTTATGCAATCTGTCAACTGAAGAAGCAGTTCAAATAGCTAAGAAGTGGTTAAGACAGATGGCGCAGCCGTTCCACAGGGAGGACCAGTTAGGTACAGCTTTACTTACTTTGGAACAGTTATTAACTAAGAAAGATATACACGAAAAAGCTCAAGCTAGATAAATGCTATTACTGTCATAGCTCTCGCTTGAGTTTTAAAGAAAGGCATTTGCTCAAGTTTTGACTTGTATATTATTGTGTATACGATGCTTTAAATATTTGTAATGATGATATTATTTTTCTGCGTAAGTTTTTTTATATGTGTTTTTAAACACCTTACGATGATCTTGAAAGTGTTTCAACACTGACATTATTTCATCGTTCTGTAACTTTAATTGGCTTAGCAAAATGAGTTCAGAGGTGTTGTACATTTCTTGTATATGTCTGTATAATTTTTTTATAAACCAAAGTATTTTACTTTTTTAGTATTATAATATTTTGAAATAAATTTAGAAAAAATAAAATTGTATTTATAAATTTTAAGATGAATATAAATAAATGCAATATATTTATTTTAATTAAAACATTTTTAATATTAATTGAGTTTTATCAAGCCTTTAAAGGTGTGTAAATATTTTTTCTATATTAATTATTTGTAATTTTTATTCATTGTAAATGTATAAAAAATAAAAATGTTGATTTGTTTTTCAATCTTGCTATATTATTTACAATTTATAATTTAATTCAATTTAATATTATTTATGGATGGAACAAAATTGTCAGGAATTTCAGTCCCAAGATTTCGACCCAACATGTGGGTCATTCTCAAGGGCTAAAAATTACAAAATATGAAATAACATCAGTAAAATAATAAATATAAAAGTGTAAGGGTAATAAGGGAGAAGAATGACAGTAACAAGATTATAGCAATAAGAATAAAGAATAAAATGATAAATGTAAAAGTGCACAATAAAAAAACACTGAAATATGATAAGAAAATTATATCAAAAAATCATTTTCTTATCATATTTCAATGTTTTTCATTATTGTATTCTTTTACATTCATCATTTTGGTGATTTTATTCTTTACTCTTACAGCACTCTTATTAGCCTTAAATTTTTATATTCATAATTTAGTGATATTTATATTTATATTTTGCTAAGTATGTACCGATATCTCCTAAAAATGGGCACGATAACAACCTTTAACAATCTTATTAAACGTAAATAAAATAAAATTCAGTAGTTATTTGTTTCAAAAAAATACTTGAAGCCAACATAAGAAACAATAAATTTCCAATAAATATTAAATCTTTGTTTTTATAATTTTAAAATTAAAATTTAGTGTTTCTAGATAAGAAATAAACTTTAGTTATTCTTAAATTTTTAAAATTAATTGAAAAATATTTGTAGTTTTTTTCGTGTGTTCAATTAATTTTAAAAATTTAAGAATAAATAAGAGGTACAGATGAAAACATAAAGGTTCAAACCCGAATTCCCCCAGGTTAAATTTACTTTTATGAAATAATTATGGCATTTAAAAAGAATAAGGGTTTGATTGAAAATATATTTTATTATTAACAGACAGTATTATTAGTGGAGCAAATAAAAAAAAATATATATATATATATATTTTTATGCCGTGTTATATGTTTGTTTATTTATCCCACTTGATATTTAATCTTAAACTTTAATTCGTTTGACATTTTTGTGTTTGTTTATTCATATTTGAGTGAATATAAACAATAGTTTTATCCAGATAAAAGAATAACATAAATGTTTATTTCTTATATAGAAACACTAAATTTTAATTTTAAAATAATAAAAACGAAGATTTAATATTTATTGGAAATTTATTGTTTCTTATGTTGGCTTAAAGTATTTTTTGAAACAAATAGCTACTGAATTTTATTTTATTTATGTTCAATAAGATTGTTAAAGGTTGTTAGCGTGCCCATTTTTAGGAGATATCGGTACATACTTTGCAAGACCAATAATTGTAAAAAAAAATCGATTTTTTGAATTAAAATTAAAGCAAAATAGTTACTAATACTTGACAATTTTAGTTACTATATGTAAAGAATTGGTATAACCAATATAATTTTACATTTAACTCTTCTAATTTTTCATTCGGGATTAGTTAGGTTTCTTCTAGCCAAAGAATTACAGTAATTAATCTGTAGTAATAAGCTAATAGGCAACTGCAAGACCAAGACCTAGACGGAGTGCGCAAGATCAAGACTCGTCTTGGTCTTCTTGCATTTGATCAACACTAGTACATACCAAGAAATTCCTCAGACATTAATAAATCCAAAAATAATTATAAATATAATTTAACTGATCCCAAACGAATGACAGTGGCTAAAAGTATAACATATTTCTCTTGAATAATGACTGATAAAATGTAAAAAAAAAAGATCAATATAATCGCAGTATTTGTATTTATAAGTGACCAATCAAATTTTTGAATTATAATATCTAAGTGTAAAATAAAGTTAATAATAATCCTGCTGATTGCTTGAATGATTTTCATGAAAACGCAAATATTAGATACATTTAGTTGATCACTTATCAATACATCTAGAGATCTTAATAAAATTACACAGTTTTAGAATAGAATAGAATAGAAAAATAACTTTATTCTGGGACACAGTCCCTTGAGAATAACAAAATAGAACAAAATTAAAATATTACATCTGGCCCAACGATTTTACTATCACTTTACTTAACAAATACTCGAAAAATTATTATTTTTAACTAATTGTGGATTGATGGTTGACTGTGGTGAACAATTTTAATAATAATAAGAGATCTGTGGCTCTAGTGCCCTCTTTCAGTCTCCACTGGCTTCTAATACTAGTGATGCGGGTGGAAAAGTGGCACTGGGATCTCCTGGAGTCTTGCTTTGCCTTCCACATGTGGGGGAAAAAGCCTGGCTCGGAGATTCCAGGGCGAATGTATATATTGTATATAGGTATGATTGTGTTTAGAAGTTTCTATTTTATGTTATTGTTTGCTTTTTTTTTCATTTATTTACTTTTTATATTTATATTTATTTCTCTATTATTTGTATATATTGTTTGAATGAGAACTCTTACCCCTAATACTTATAGCCCTCCAGCAGTGGCTGATTGTATTATTATTCAATAAATAGATTTTTTTTAAAAATAATAAGAGAAGAATGATTGGGGTGTTAAATCAAGATATTGATCAATCAACTTCAATATCTAAGATCTTAATCAAGATCAAGAAGATGGGTCCTAAGGAAACCTTTTATTTGACCTGCCCTGATGAAGCCTGAATATTGGTCCGAAACGTCAGCAAAAATATAAAATAAATATACTAATTTATTTTTACTTTTTTTTATTCATATTGAATGATAATACAATCTTTCTCATGAAGAACAACAAATAGGATATAAAATAATATTGCCGCTATTCCAGTCTATTTATGGAATTGTACAGGTTTTCATCTTCTGTGTAATGGATTATTATGAAACATTGTATCTTAACGCGGCACCGTGTTCGAGAGGCGAAAAGAAAAAAAATGGTATCGAAAACCAAATTAAAACGAATTTTATTGAAGATATGGATTAAAATTTCTCATAGACTAAAAATCGGTTGGACTTAGTTGTTATTTAAATTGGAAAATATTCTCATAAATTATTCGCTAACATTATTTATACCACAGCTTAGAATTCATTTATGTTTTAAAGTAAGACCAATTCCATTTTTTTACTTTCACTTACCTATATATGGTAAGGGATAGTATTGCGGTCGTGAACATTTTCGAATCTGAGCTTTCAACGAAAATACACGTTTTAAGATCCCGTGAGTCCAAATAACAAAGACTCGCAAAATGGTCTGTGTGTATGTATGTGATTAGTCTAGCTCAAAAACGAAAAATCCTACGAAACTGATATTACGTATTTAAGATAGGTATATAACTGAGATGTTATAGCAACTTTTTCCTTAAAATCGGCTTACCGGAAGTGCCACTTTACATCAACGGCAGTACACATTTTTACAATTTTCTAAAAAAACTGCTTTGACGATTTTGATTAAACTCGGTGTAACATTGTATAATTAAATGGTCTTTAATATTATTAAGGTCTTATCCACATTGATGTCACTTTACAGGACTCAAATTCCCAATATACGCCTTTCTATAAAGTACCTTTAATAAGGTTTATTTAAAAAAAATAACTCTCCTTTTAAAGAAGTTTGAAAGAATATGCTAATTGGAAACTGGAGAAAAAAAGAAAAATGCTTCTTCAGATTGAAAATGAATCTCCGGAAATAACAGTCAGAAGGTAAACGTATAATATATCGTTGGAAAGCGGAGAATTTCAGAAAAATAATATTAAATAAATAAATTTGTTCAATGACGAAAAAATATAAATAATAATTTCAGAAAACTATCATCATTTAGCGCAAATCACATGTTTCCAGTGAAATTAAATGAAATTTTCTTCCTAAATTAAAACTTTTAAAATTTTTTCTATGTGTGAAAAAAAATTATTTAAAATCCACCGAGTAAAGCCAATTTCATTGTTTAAAATACTATTTAATTGTACTTCTGTGAAAGAAGAAGTGAGATATAAAAATAGTTCATTGATATGTTTTTAACCTTACATAGATTTACTGTTGTTATCTATATTTAGCTGTTTATTAAAAAAAAATCATTAAGTAATCTATTAGAAAATTAAATTAGTGAATAATTTGATAAATTGTCCCTTTGTGAAATCCCTACATTATCCACTTATAATTAGTGTGACAACTTTTGACCTATCCATGGCAGGCAATGTAGTAAATTAATTTTATTAAACTTTACAATGGAAAATAACAGTTTAATAACTAATAGTATTACAATTCATAATTATTTATTGGTTAAATATTCAGATACACTTTCAAATCTTTCTAATCATACATGAGCCTTTTGGTTGACATAATGACTAACTCCAATTTCAACATTGTTTAGAAAGAAAAGAAAAGAAAAGAAAAATCATCTTTATTCTGGGACTAGGTCCCTTTAGAATAACAGTATTGTTCATATATATTAACTACAAATCTGGTCAAAAGACTTATTACAATGAATAATGACAAAATACATGTAATACATTAAGTATTAATTAAGCTCTTAGGATAAATTAACGAGGACAGTTTGGTAATAGGGGTTCAGTACTACAATATTGGAGCTAAAATAATTGCATAATAATCACTGAATGAAATTAGAAAGGAAAGTAAAATCTATTTTATAGGTAAAGCATTGTAGTGATGGAATATAAAAATTTAAAAAAAATAATAATAACTGTTAATATGTAGGGAAAGAAATTGTAAAAACTAAAATAAAAAAAATATATAAAAAAACATATAATGATATACATATGTTCCCTAAAATATTTAAGTGATTATGCGTAAAGATTAGGAGAAGAGAAAATAAATCAAAGTATATATATACACATAG